GTAAAACGGCCGAGGACGTGGCCCCGGTAGATATGAATATACAAGCATTTCCAGATTTTGATCCAACAAGATTTTCACAAGAGACATAGTCAAAGATTCAACGAATCTTACTCAATGGTCATATAAGACAGAATCGAGGGCGACATGCAAATGCCCCCAATGTGAATTTCGTCGAAAATTTAGCTCAGTTCGGCACCGCCATTTTGACGATTTCACTGTTAAGCAAATATGACCATTTATCTAACAAAATACGTTGTAAAACCCTCCAAAAATTGATCATGTCAAGAGTACATGGCATTCCCGTCTGGTACATGTAACGCAACGAAGGTAAATATGCCACAAACCAGGCTCAACGCAGCTGTAAAAGTCGGATGAAATTTCATCCAACTGCCGCGCGAAAAGAGTTTCCTTAGCAACGGCGTTGCTAGGGATCGCGGATCGATTCGAACTGCAAATAAAAACGGTTCGAAACGCGTTCGATTTAGTACGTGGCGTGACGGCTGTATATTTCATTGTGGGAGGAGTTTGAATCTAATAGACCCATTCGACTTTCACGGATCGCATAAACTGCCTACGTCACAGGGGGGACATTTCGAATAAAAATTACGTCACAGGGGGGACATTTCGAAAGTTCCTTTCACGGATCGCATAAACTGCATACGTCACAGAACAAAATAACCTTACATTGTTGTACGGAATGCCACCATACAAAGTTGGTGCCTGTTTTTCTGTCATTTCCACATATATTGCCGAGAAAATAGACACTTACCTACCTTTTAGTAAAAAAATGATCTGCCAGGGGGAACACCGCGAGTGCAAGCCACGTTCGACTTCAGCGTTCTAGAACGACGTTCTTTCGAAATGTCCCCCCTGTGACGTAAGCAGTTTATGCGATCCGTGAAAGTCGAATGGGTCTATTCTTCTCACACCGAACCCATCATCACAGTGGGGCCGTGTGGAACATTTCCCTGGCAGCCGACCGACGCCACAGTCGACTGTGACTACAGCTATACCAGTTCGATACGCTACAGATACTACACGTCTTCGACGTCGTACGACTTCTACCCTAATGGACGCTGCTCTGTTAACTGTTCAAATAACCTTCCGGTGACGGGGGCGTCAGTCATTTATCCCGATGGAGGAGGCTACTACTACTGCCACCCAGGGGACTCCATGTGGTTAGGAATTGAACCATCTTGTCATGGTAAGGGCTATGATAAAAGGTTTATTCAAAAATTACAACCTAACCTTTAATTTAATACTCAGATAACACGCCTGAAAGCGTCTGAAAGTTACAGAACTCCAGTCGTGTGTAACAGTTTAATCCTTCCTTTGTACTATAGAACTGTTTTATTGTCGCAACCCCTAACCACTAGACCAAAGTATCAGTGCCAATATGTAATAGTGTCAATACCGTTGAAAACTCGTATGTGACACCTCTCCATGATTGCTCACTTTTTCGGCCTGTTACACACATTACTGGTCATTACTCCTTCGCAGAAAAGCCGTGTGGAGATTTCCCATGGAACACCCCTGATGTAACAGTAGACTGCGACTACGACTACCGCGGGACCTTCCAGGACGGCCCAGGGTATGTACATGTACGTGGCCGCTGCAGCATGACATGCCTGAATGCGACAATGCTAGTGGGTCCGCCGGATGGCGGATATTACTCCTGCAGCGTCAACAACGCGAGCTGGACCGGCACCGAACCTGTCTGTATCGGTAGGGGACAACATTTTCTTTAAACAAACATGAGCTTTGTGCCTAAACTTGTTTGTCTATGCGTCTACTTCATCTCAACAGATCTCTAATTGACGTTTTAACTACCGCTTGTCATTGCTCAGATGGAGAGGAATAATGACGGTACCCTGCTTTGGCTCTTTTTTGTCGTGTTTTTGTACTAGTACCCTTTTTTGCCAGCCCCCCCCCAAATATACAGTACTATGGAGTGCAAAAAGATAAAAAGCCCAAAACGCGCCAAACTAATATAAGCCAAGGCCCAAACCTCTGCTTAGAGAGTATCAATCTGGGTCGCAAGCCAATCTAGCGGACAGACCGGACACAACATACATAGTAAATGCAGATTCTATAGCACCCGTTGATTTGGCTCAAATGAAACTTCATTTCAAAATTCATTTCATTACTAGTAACTGATTATACTGATCTGATGCCTTGTAAACTTTGTGACTCGACCACAGCCGTTTTAGAATGCGCGAAGACTAGTAGTTTTTATTCTCCTCTCTCCCAGGTGGATATGACAACTCGTCAGTAACAGAGAGCAAGGCTAACAGAGTCCGGCTGGTGGGAGGAGAGTTCTACGGCTGCGTGGAGCTGTACGATAACGTCACACAGCAGTGGGGACCTGTCACTGGGTTTTCGTTTGAGTACAACCCGGTGTGGGAGTCCAGGATGTCATGGGCTGACCTAGTGTGCAGGGACGTCGGATTTTCTGGAGGTTTGGCCACTTATGCATTCCGTACAGGCAACCGTTGGATCATGGCGATATCATGGCAGATGTCCCCTTCCTACACCAGACCTAGCGATACTGGGCCCAATTTCTTCCTGGACAGGTATTCTCCCGTGTCCGCTGGGGGAGTTCAACACCTGTACGACACTGTGGATCGGGTGGTCCGGGGCGACTGCACGGCAACAGAGAGTCGGTGGAACTGTAATGAAAGACTGATGTGTCTGGCCTGTCAGGGGCAACCAGAAAGTGAGTAGCATCCCGCCACGCTGAATATGCATTGCTGAATTATGAATTATCATGATTAGGTAAAAAAAAAGGCACACAAGTGTTCCCTACCCTCAATTAAGCATGATTAAAACAGATGAAGCAGCATGTGCCATTTGAAAGTATTTTGTGTGACTCGTCCGGAGATCTACCTATTAGGCCATTGCACCTGTCTACTGAAAAGTTGAATCATTAGTGTAGAAAGTATGGTGAATCGGGGAGAAAGTATCAATAAGTGAGTTAACAGACATAGACCTGTCAATGATAAGATGCTGATACTTTATCGCGAGAAGACTAAGAATCCGGTTATTGCCGTGCATTACATGTGTTGACTAACTTTTCGTGACTGTCCGGCAGTCCGGGGGGACTTGTACTGCAACTCCACAACCATGTCGGTCAGCTTCCTTCGGGATTCACTGGCCGGCCATGATGTTCCCAGCATGCACCTGCGAGACCCATCATGCACTGCGGAAGTCAACGACACTCACGTGACTTTCAGTTCTGCTCTTGGCGAATGTGGGACAACAGCGGCGGTACGTCTTTTAAAAGAACTACACGTCATTAATGTTGCTGTGTCAGCAGGAATGCGCTATTTAACATGGACATGTGGAATTGTGGAAAAGGGACGTACCGAAAGATTATGAGAAGCTTAAAAAACGACAGGCAAAAGAGATTGAAAGAGATCTGTCCCGTCAGCCCTCTCAAGAAGAGCACTTCCTTACCTTATTTTCTGGCAATTGTGGAGTTTTCTGCATGCACAACATCTGGTGATGATCAATGATGAAATATAAATATGCATGATAACTGTATTCACAGGAGAATGGCACAACCAACAAGATCATCTACACCAATGACGTCTTCGCATCCTTGCTGGAAAGTTCCACGTATGGAGCTGACGTCATCACCACGACCACGGACGACCGTTGGACGTTCAACTGTCATTACGTCAGAGATGACTCCGTAGCTGTCGGCTCCCTGTTCCCGGTACCGCCTTCAAGGTAGGTGGTAGTGTCAAGGAGATCGCTATGACAACAGGTAAAATCAATTTTGCCTGAAACAAGAAACGTGGCCATATTCTGTTTCCTGTTTCATCATCAAAAATTGTCCTAAGAGCTGTTCGCAACACTCTCGACTGTCTGTACTTTTCTTTTTTCTCCCCCAGCGTGGTGATTCTGCACGGTGATGGCTCCTTCACCTTCAGTATGAGCCTGTATCGGTCAGACAGATTCTCCCAGCCGTACACACAGTCAGACTTCCCTGTAGAGGTACGTATGAACCTGTACGGGCTAGTAAGACAATGTTATACATAATCCAACCTGGTAATGACATTTGTCCAATTTACTCCCCGTGCCTATTTCTATTCCGGCGTCCCCAGGTGACGGTAAGCGAGGACATGTACTTCGGTATCTCGATGGAGGCCGCAGTATCCGGCCTGGTCCTGTTTGTGGACAACTGCAAAGCGACGCCGTCGTCCACCCCTGGCGGTTCCACACAGTACTACATCATACAGGACGGGTAGGAACAAGGTTTATCCAAGGACATTATACACAAGTTTATCCAATGTCTCTATATGTACTTGTGTCATGAAAAAATCTTTTGAAAGCTGGTTTAAAACATTTAGTTTTCCTCATGTTGAATAACCCTGTTACCCGGGCAAAATTGATACAAATGAGGACCAAAACGTCGGAGATGTGAAAACTCAAAAAGCCAAGAGAACCAGTTGTAGTTCATTGATGCATTTTCCAACCTTCCAGATGCCACCAGGACGACAGTCTTCAGGAGTTCCCAAGCACCTCTGCGACTTCTGCTCATTACGGGATTTCTGCCTTCAGGTTCACCAACGAATCACTGGTACATTTTTTGCTGCTCTCCGACGTGCTGCATTAATCTCTGATTCGTTTGATTGTTGCGATATTTTTAAGATCTAAGTTAAATTAAACAAAATTTTTAAGATATTGGTCATGACAGTAGTGTCAGTCCATCATTACTTGAAATTCTGTTCAAAACCTGGTTCAATACGGTTGAAAAATATTTCGGTAATATAAATTACCGGTACTTCAGGTTCAGGGCTTGATTTCATCCGATCACTAGTAAAACTTGCATGAGAACACTTTTTCCGAGGCCTCATTGTAGCAATGTTTGACAACAAACCCCTCATTTTCCCCAGCGTCACGTGTACCTGCACTGTGACGTCATGGTGTGTCTGGAGAACAACTCCGGCTCCAGATGTGACCAGGGCTGTGTCAGCTCGCGCAGGCGCAGACGGGCCACAGAAGACAGGGTGGAGGAACGTGTTACCCTGGTGCAGGGTCCGATCGTTGTGGCTCCTGATGAAACTCCAGATGGTAACGAAATAATTCACAGTCTTACCTTTACCTCTCCAATAACCTACATACAATTTACCTACTGTACTTATTCAGTAGATTGATTACCTGGGTCAGGGGCCAGTCATCTGCGAGCATCAGGTGGTGATGCATGGCGGCTACAGTCCTGCACAGGTCCCGCCAAGTTGTTCTGTTTCCAGCGCAGAGTCGCAGACCCTCCAGTCGGTTCTGGGTACAATTGCGTAACTAATAGACACCCTAAGCTCTTATCGGTTAACCTCAGATGACCTGCACTGCCACAAACAATGAATTTTTCAAACATAGAAACGCGTCAGCTGACTTGTTTTACCGATAATTGTTTCAGGTCTATCACGATATTTTTAAACGAAAGGCTTGGGGAGCACGCGTTTAAAGATTATAAATTTGTTCGTGGCAGGTCATCTGAAGTTAACCGATTAGAGCGTAGGGGGGGGGGGAGCAACCGCACACAGAAAAGCTTGCTCCGCAGCATGCAATACTTGAAATCCCATAACCGCCCTCAGACTGGACCAGGCTGGCAGTGGACAGTGGATTCCGATTACCCGCGTGAAAGTACCAGTTTCACATTTTGGTTGGTTCCATGCTGCAGGTGTCCCAAACACCTGGGTCTCAGCAGCGGCAGGACCTTCAGCTGCAGCAGCTGTCGTCCTGATTGCCATAGTAACAGGCATATGTCTGCGCCGTGCCAAGCGCAAGAATGCAATCAAGGATGTGGAAGGTCAGAGATGAAGACTTTCTTTTGCCTGATATGTACTCTGCCTGTCTTCACATTTTTATGATCTGCAAAACAGCCATATATATCTTCCTATTAGAGCACTGAGTAACATTGTTGTAGCTTTGACATGTTGGTGACCGATAAATGTTTGGCTTATTTTGTGTTTATCTTTTCGGTTTCAGGGCACAACAATCTTGCTTTCGTGAACACCTCGAGCAAACCGGCAGAGACTGTCAGCAGCGCCCCCTCCCGGGACCGGGCCAGCAGCTTCTGAACCTGCAGACGATTGTTCAGTTTTTCCCTGGTCAAGTTGTTTTTCGACCTGCTTGTTTGCGGACAAAATAGCTCAAGATATGGCTAGGATTTTATCAGATTTGGTATATGGCTATGGGCTGGTGAATTTGTGAACTTTGTGCTGTGTGTTTATTTTTTGTTTTAAAATGTAGAGATGATGTTGGGCAAACAACAAGCTTGAGCCAAGTGTGAAAAGCAAATGTTGGGATATTATCAGATTTGGTCGTCTACACATATGAAAGCAGTACTGTTACTAGTACTGCTGTTTGTCCATCATCAAGTTGAGACTGTGTGATGTTCTTCAAAGTTTGCATTCTGTGGATTTGTTATCAGTTTGTTGTGTGTTTAGGTCGAAGATATCTTAAATTTGCTGTTTTATAAAAGCATTATATTAATAGTTGGCACTAAGGAGTACTGTTATATGCTGACCTTGTCTGGTGACTGGACATGTAATTGACTTCCAAAATGTTTGTATGAGCTCCTCCAGTGACAAAGATGCCACCATTCTTCAAGTTTATCACTGTTCTGGAATCGTCTTCCTTTAAAACGGTAGTAGATATCAACAACTTTGATTCAATAATTTTCAGGGCACCACCCTAATGTTTAGAATTGTTTGAATGTAGCGTGCCTTTGGGCACTGATGATTGTCAATACGAGTAGCAAGTGAAGTAGAGTCGAATGTTGTATCTACATGCATTCTACAGAGCTCCTGCTGTTACCAAACCCTGTGTTTTTCCTGCTTGTTTTATTAAAAAGCTTCTGTGTGAATTTCAACATGTTGTCTGAGTTATAGTGAATTACAGTATGACAAAGATTGTGAAAAGCATTATTAAGTTACCGGTAACTACATTTGTACTACCTGGGTAAGCCTGTATTGGGTTTGGCACTGCATTGTTCCCACTAGCTATAGCACCACCAAGTAAGTTGCTAGAAGCTCCAGTCAGTACAGTCCTGAAGAAGGTAGCAGAAGGACAACCAAAATGTAGGTAAGTAAGAAGAAATTGGTAGTCAACAAGAAAACTAATTATCGTGGGTCAGGGTTAACCTCCACTCTGCCAAGAATGTACTGCACATCTTTGGGGTTCCATCATAAGTCAGCAGGGTTGCCATGACATCATCTCAGGTTCATTCTTTACTATAAATGTTTGGAATGTACATTATTGGTTTACCTACAAATGTTTAACAAAAATCAGACATGTCTTAGCATGTATACATATCAAAAGTGACCATATGAGTAGATTCCCCCATGGACATTCTGTAGAACATCCTTGATTCCCCCATGCCCAAGCTCAATCAGTATCATTGTGAGGGATATGCTTTAACTATTTTGATATCGTCTACTGGTCTGTCATCGTTCCCAGTTTCAACCATCCCCACTTTCTTCACCACGCCCATCCCCTGGCACACACGACCAAATATGGTGTGTTTGTTATCAAGCCACTGTGTCGGTGCGAGCGTGATGAAGAACTGCGATCCGTTGGAGTTCGGGCCACTGTTCGCCATGGACAGAATTCCCGCGCCCGTGTGCTTCAGGTCAGAGGTGATCTCATCCTCAAACTGTGGTCCGTAGATTGATGCACCGCCTCTGCCTGACACGAGAAATAATGCATTCATTAGTGAAAACGTGAAAATGATCTCAAGTTCAGCTTATCTTCCCCTGATCGTGACAGACAGACATTGTGTACATTAGATACAGATCATCATTTTAAGGACGGGTGTATGAGTGTGTGTAAACAATAACGCTATATATAATAACATTATTATGTGTGTGAGAGAGTGTATTTGGGGGTGGTTGTTTTACCTGTTGCTGTTGGGTCTCCCCCCTGGATCATGAAGCCCTTGATAATCCGGTGAAACTTGATGCTGTTGTAGTACCCTCTCCGGGACAGTTCTGCAAAGTTACAGCAGGTCTTGGGTGCATGGAGCCAGTACAGCTCCACAACTATGGTACCCATACTGCACAGGGAGAAGAAAAAGAGTCATGCAGTGAATATCTTCAGGTTTTGAATATGATGCAACCTACACTATACGAATCCTCTTAATCGGGTAACATTACTGGTTCAAAATTACCTTGATCTAGCAGTTTTGCTCCACATGTTATACTAAATGTTCTCCAATTCTTTATCTAACCTGTCTTTGAATTTGTTTCACTTTATTTTTTGTCTTTTTGATTTGATTATCAAAATTGATTGATGCAGTAGAGCATTTGTATGGTGAGGAACCGTTACAACCTTATCAAGTGACAAAAACATAATGGAATGTGGAGGGAGGTGGAAGAGGTCTCAATCAGCTTCTGACCTGTATTATTACATACCCCCTGTCCAGTCCAAATATTTGACCCCCCCCCCGGCCAGGCCACTCAGACCCCCCTGTCCAGGCCACTCCCCCCTCTGTCCAGGCCAGATATTTGACCAACCCCCTTGTCCAGTCCAACCTCTTCCACCCCCATTTATCCGTTTTTGTTTTTTAATAGCCCAATTTTTACCTTCATCCCAGCGAGATATGCCCCCCTCCCCCTTTCGCAAAATTGACCACGACAAACTTCTGAGTCTGACTTTGAACCCACCTGGTCTCCAGGGTAACGTTCGGAGGCTGCCACGTGGGCGGAGGGATCCCGGGATCTGACATAACTCAGGGTCAAGTTCAAAACGCCGCTTTCTATTGTTATCTTCACGCGCGCGTAGGAACCACGCTTCCAAAACAAAGAGACAGAAACTAGCCGCGGATTCGTCCCCCGATACTTCTGGCCACCGCATGACAGACACTAGCCACTAATTCGTTGCGCACGATTCTGAACACCGAGAGCCAGAAACTAGCTGCGTATTCATCCACCATCCTTACCACAAATGTTTGGCTGGGCGGATAAGGTTTTCTTTGGTCTTTTTTGACACTTCTGTTTGGGAAATATTCCCACATCACATCAATGTGAAGAACCAGAAATTACAGTGGTAGAAACAGTGCGCTTCTAATCTTCGTCGCCAGAGGGCGTAATCAATCAGCAACAAGACAAGAAAAGAACACAGAGACAAAATGCGAAACCTCACCTCAGTACACAACAGGATATTTATGTATTATGATTACTCTGTACTGTGTTATTACTTATACTGAGGTATTTCTTTTCAGCCAATCAAGAATCAGACCCAGATGGAGAGAAATGTCATGGTATGTCTCACCTGAGACGAAGAGGATGAAGAAAGTCTTGTACAATGTCTCTGTCATGACCAATCACAAATCTGAGTTTACAAATCTTATACAATGTCAAGCCCACAGAGTCTACAGTACTGCATCAGGTCAACACAATGAAGAACAACAAAATCTCATGGTGAAACCAGTTCACTTTGCAACTTACTTCTACATGCAATATTGTAAGTATTAGATCTTACTGTGTGATACAGAACAGGTTTGTATAATACTGCACAACAATTTGTTTTAACATTTTATAACATTACATAACTGTTACATGTACTTTTGAACATCAAAATGCCAGACTCTATCTACAAGCTGTGGGAAATACTCTAGCATGTAGGACATTATTAAAAGACTGTAACAAAAACTAACATGACATGAAACGACACAATAACTAAAATAGAGTATGACTAGGACAATATCCACAGGTCCTGAATAATGCCACATGAAAAGTGTACACAATCTTGTACACTTTTTTAAATACTTGCCTGACAGAAACTAGGCACAATCACAATTAATCAGGTTTAACATTTTTAACAAGTGCACGTGGGGCTTCTGACATGTAAAATTGGTACATGAGAACAAAGTTTACATCTGGCCAAACACTGTGTTGTCTGGAAACATTGTGTTCGTCTGGAAACCTGATCAGTCCACATCAAAGTCACTGTCATCATCCTGGCTGTCAGACTGCTGAAGGACGGTCGGCACATCTGCTTTAGACTGCAGCAGGCCATGTCTGAGGTGGGGCAGAAACAACAGTAAATGTACGAAAATCTGTCAAAAACTGAATGAAAAGTTTAAATCGAAATTGTCACAAATAACTTGTGTTTTTTTTTTTACTTCTTACCAAGCTAAGTGTTCAATTGGCTTTGTGTTCAAGTGTGAATAATAGCTGTTTGTTGAACTCATTACATTGTGTGTGTTTGCATATGTTAGTGTAATTGTGATTTACTAGTACATGTACAACCACAATCGTCTTAGATGGTTCTGGGGTTGTAATATAACAATCTGTATGGTTGTGTCTCATTGTCTCACTGTGAGAGTCCGTAGGACAGGAGAAACACTTATACACAATACACAATAACACAGACAACTTACTCCACTAAGAAGGACTCCAGATCACCAGCGAAGAAGTCTTCCCCTAGCTGGTCTGTGATTCGCAGGAAGTTAGCGACGAGCTGGCCCCCTCGGTATGCCAAGATTGCTGGCAGGCCTTTGGACGTCTGGAAGAGAAAATAGTTCTCAATTCTGTTTCAGTATTTTGTCAATGAGTTGCAATCAATACAATACTATCAATAAAAAGGGTTCACATATTAGACAGTAGGATCTTAAAATGCACACAGGCTTCATAAGATCTTTCCTGCTCTGTAACAATTACATCTTAGATCTTTGTTACCCTAATCACACCTGGTGAGACACTTACAAATGTCTGACTGACTTCTGCCTCGGAGGACTGTATCCGACAGAACTTCACCTGAGGAAGGAAGACAGACAGGTGTTCAAGCATCAGGTGTAAATTAGGACAGGTGTGCACACATTAGGTGTGATACTACAGCTGTCTATACAAGTCACAATGAATTACTCTAACTGTTACACTAGAGCTGCCCATGCATGTGAACAAAGCTAAACCTGGAACAGAATGAACATTTCTTAGGCCTGTTTAACCCTACTCACCCGAGGATGGTCCTGAGCTAGGCACTGGAAACAGCCATTGACAGCGTCACATCCTGGCACAAACTACAGGAAAGAGCAGGCCAGAAAAAAGTGTGTGAATACCTGTTATAATACCCGTCATAATGATTGTTTTCAACTTGACCTCTTGCTTCATTTTTCCTCCAAAATGTCCAAGAACAATGAATTGACAAAGACAATGAATTGGATTTGACCTCGATGATTGAAACTTACAGGTTCAAAGATGTGGATGATGATTAAGACGTGTTTGTTCTCTTTATCAATGGTGTCAACATACTGGCTTCTAGTCAGGTCTAGAACTTGTCCAAATGTTGGTCTGGAAAGTAGAAGGAATATGCAATGTTAGCATAGTGCTTGAAAAAATGTTATAAGAAACAATACATCTAACTATCTGTCAGATTGATGCTCTTCTCCATTGATGGTCCTGAGCAATTCCTGTATTGCAATTCAGGTCTTCCAAAAATATACTCATCCCGTATTTTCGCAATGAATACTTACAAACTGGCAGATTTTTGCTGCATCTCCCGTAGTCTCTGTCCTCTGTACCATCGTAGGGAATCCTCATCAAGCTCAACATCATCTTCTTCTTGCCCCTCTGTTTTCTCAGTGTCGTTCAGCTGCAAACAAATGAGATGTTTATTGCTAGTTCTCATTGATATGAATGACATGAATGAAGACAGATTGGTATATAATAAACAGGGCTTCTCTCATTTCTGACTTCCAATGAAAGGAGGAGTTGATGATGATCTATTTCATTAAGACACAGGTGACAGACGAGTGAGGTTCACACCTGACAGATGTTAGGCAGGTGTGCTTTGTATCTCACTCCTGCAGGTGATAGACAGGTGCGGTTCACACCTGACAGGTGTCAGGCAGGTGCAGTTCTTACCTCACTTCTGCAGGTGAAGGCCAGTTTCTTCACCAGTGCGACTTTCTCAGCCTGCTGCTCCGCCCGGTGCTCCGTCTCCAGCTGCTTGAAGCGACGCCAGTCCTCGAGAACTCCCTTTGGTCCCGTCTGTAGTGGGACAATTATTTGCTATAGGTCAATCATACCAGGCATAGAAACACAAAGAACATTCACTGCCTTGGTGTGATGTAAAAATGACATCCTGCATAATTTTCTGCAGAACAACAAACACACGTACGTTAGTGGCCTGGCCCTGCCAGGCGCTGGGGTCCTGGCAGCACCCTGGGGCTGTCCCCTGCACAGGTGCCTGTTCTGTCTGGTCCATGTCCTCCTTATCGCTGGCACACTCGTCATCAGATGCCTCGTCCTCACTACTGCTAACATAGTACTGCGTCTTCAGACCCAGTATCTTGTCATCCAAGGTCGTCATCCTTCAGGTCAAGATTGGTTCAAGCAGATGAGGTCAATACAAGAGGGTCCCCTTCTGTTCCTGTGGGGTCAGGAAGAAAGAAAAACAGACATGATACGTGATGAAGATCAGCTGACGCATACCTATTAATGCTATTGTCCCGACAAACAATAAGACATGATACAATTGTATTATAAAGTCATCATGTGCCCAGATTAAACATTACAAGATCTGACTATGTGACAATTACAGAGACAGTCCCTACATTATTTACTGTCAGCTGAATTGGGGTATCTCTGTTACAACTCAAGGAAAGGTAACCTTTAACGCAACAAGGAGGTTAAAAACTTTATGCCTGGATCAAGGAAAATCAACTGGCATTTCCATGAACTGCAGATTGGTACAGTAGTCTTGGAATTATTTCCCTTCATCTAAAACATCTATGGAATTCTAACGTTACACTACAAGAAACCCCCAAAATTTATGATGCCTAACACAAAGCACACTCATAAACATGACTTTACACGACATACAATTTCTACCGGTGTATTAAGGCTTATCTAGGTCTTACATGACAGTTTATCACATGAAGTAACTCAATCCGCCACAAATAAATTTATCTGGCCTAGATCGTTACATAATTTGCTCGATTTTATTCATGCCGTTTCGTCATAAGCTTGCCTTCATCACACTCTCAAATAGGCGGCCTGCTCCGTTCTTCTGCCAATAATTTTCCTAACTCAAGTTCACAGTGTTAAACGGGCTTCCTAAGATACCACAGTAAGTAAAATTTCCTTCCCATACCAGATAGCGTTGCAGGCGATCAAATTATCTTCCGTTCAGCAACAGTACGTCCGCCTCGCCTCTCCCTCGCGCTCCGCAAAACAATCAAACAACTCACACTTTCACTTCCGGGTTCAGCCTCCTGGTGGTCTCGCACCGAAGTTGTGTCTGTGCGGACTTCCGGTCTCTGTTGCCACACGGAAGGTTCCGGGTTGGGCGGATTCTGGTGTGATGTCATCACTTCTGTAGGTATCAACGTGTTTTACGCGTCGTTTGCGGCGTTTCTATGTCTTTGAAGGGTTGTGGAACATGCAGAAAAACGCCCACATAGTAGGCACCATGCACAGAGCTGCTGCAAAACATTCTACCCCGATTCACACATCTGCTTGAAGATTATTGCGAGTAGAATTGACACGCTCTTGTCATAGATTGTATGTATTAAGACCCAACAGGGATTTCACAACTGTGAACTTGTGATGTAGATTAACTAACTACATACGGGCTTTTGGCAAGCACTGACCTGTGTGAATGATCACACCTTACATTATATTAGTAATATATAGGTAACTGTTATCTGTATCTGTATAGCCAGTATAACCACCCTTTGGCGTAACACACCAGCTTACCAGGTAATCTATAGTCCTTGGGCATCTGCAGATTTTTTCACAATTATTGTCTAGGTAGCATGTACATGTATCTGCAAATCTGCATTAGTCTATCACCATTTATTATCTGTCAGCTGGTATCTTGAATCTTGTACATTTGCCACCACCAGTGTTGTGGAATTTAATGGTTTTATGACTCTTGATTCCAGAAGGTGATTACCAACCACCTGCAGACCCTGAGCCCTCACAACAACAACGTTCACCCCAGACCCCCTCCCAATACAACATCATAGTCCAGAACCCCCCCCCCCACTTGAGACAACGACCCCCCGCCCACCATGGAGCTGTCCCGAAACGTGGCCCTCCCACCCATACGCCCCCTGGCAGACTTTGTTGGTTCCGAGGCGCGGTTCGCTGTGCCAGACTATAAGGACCCTGTGCGGTGGAACAACCGGATTGTCAACAACCTGCTGTATTACCAGACCAACTACATCGCCGTGGCAGCTGGTATCTTCATCCTGGCGGGGTAAGCACTGCATTATGGGTAATTTTCATTGGTGACACAAGCCATGGTTATGCTGTGATTACGATGCTGTGGTTTGGCTGTTGTTCCTGTCCCTAGGCTGATGAATCACAGGACCATGCTGGTTGCCATGGTGCTGATGTTGTTGTTGTTGTTTTAATACCTGTTGTTGTTGTCCCCAGGCTGATGAACCCCCTGGCCATGCTGGTTGGCACGATGCTGGTCACTGTGGTTTTTGCTGCGTTCATCACGCTGACAGAGAACCAGCGCCAGCTGCAGCGGTTTAAGAAGGACCACCCAACGGTGTGTGTGGCCGGTCTCCTCGCCGCCTGCTACTTCATCATGCGCATGTTCCAGCTGCTGCTCGTCTTTGTCTTCGGCATCACCCTGCCTCTGCTAGGTAAGGAAACCTCTGCTAGGTAAAGTCACTTCTGCTAGGCATCACCCTGCCTCTGCTAGGTAAGGAAACCACTGCTAGGTGAAGTCACTTCTGCTAGGCATCACCCTTCCTCTGCTAGGTAAGGAAACCTCTGCTAGGTGAAGTCACTTCTGCTAGGCATCACCCTTCCTCTGCTAGGTAAGGAAGCCCCTTCCATGCATTACCCATTGCTAGGTATTTGCCCGTCTAGGTATTTTATCCTAGTGCAAGCCTCCCTGCTCATCAACACCCTCTGGCAGAACTTTATGGTACTGCAGTTAATATACAATTTTGTTTATTTCCTGCATAGTTGTCCTAGTGCACGCCTCAATGCGAATGCGGAACCTGAAGAACAAGCTGAGTAACAAGGTGGAGTCTATCGGCATCAAGCGCACGCCCATGGGAATCCTGCTGGAGGCTCTTGGGCAGGAACAGGAGGCCGGGTCCTGAGCACCAGTATGACCTAGCAGAACCTGTCAGTACTGCAGCTACTAGTGAACAGTAAAGTTTGGCACAATATCATTATATTTCAATGAAAGGTCATCATGCATATGGTACTACTAGATACGTATATTAAGTTTTAGGAAGAGAAGTTTCTTCGTAAATTGCGCGACCGTCTTTCCCACCAACATGCACTGATCTTAGTGAAATGAGTGGGTCACTATTTCAGGTCGGTGCATGTCAGAGGCAAGTGGGTTAGATACCTGAATTCTGGTGGATACGGCTGAAACTTAAACTGAACTTTTGTTACGGTGTTGGATTAGGTTCAAAACATTTAATTATGGCAGAATCTGTGCTGTTATGGGGAAAAAGTAAAACAAACATCTTTAGCTGCTTGCTTTAACAGATAATTCTAGTTACTCAATTTTGTCCCATAAAAATGTCAAACTACTCATTTTCAGAAGAGAATAAAATAAATAAACATCATTAGCTGCTTTTACAGATCATGATTCAAATTTGTCTTGCCAAGAAAAATCCAGAATTCTCCTTTTGGATAATCAAGATGTGACAAATTAAACCACTAGATATCAATGTCTTAGAATCAATAATGATTGTGCTTCCAAATACATGTATCTATTTGCTCTGCCCATCTGTAAGGCATGTATGTGTAGTTAGTGCAAAAGTTGCTGCATTATGTGACAAATTTAGCCCTGCTCAACCCCAAATGTCTGTTTGTGTCTTATGTGTTTTGTTGTAAATTAGTTGTTGAGACCTTACATATATGTATATCCATTGTTGCAATATCATATAATAATAAAGTTTATTCCTGTGGAGTGATATTTCAGCTGTCTTCTTGTTCCTCTCTGATCAAAAGTGTAACTGTCTCAAACTACTCATGATTATACAGTTTTGCCCCCTCCCCTCTAAAAGTTGCCTTGCAATAACCAGAATTTCTGAACAGACCACAGTTTCTCTAATTATTGTATGCCAAGTTTTGTTGTCACAGAGACATCAAACAAAAATATCACAGGCAAATGTTTAACATTGTACAGATTTATTCGTATAATTTTCAAACATCATTAGTCAAACAATCAAGTCATATCAAACAATTCTAGCATAACTTCCCAACCGTTTCCCCATGACACTCCAAGATATGTACATTCATAGCAGCATAGCAGTTTTAGAGCAGGTCAGTTTTACAAAGAAGTTCAGAAATGGCCAAGATGAGATACCAAGGCTTCAACCACCCTTGGAACTCAATTGAGCTTAGTTTAAGTCAACTCAGATCAAAACCATGGTTTGTTTAACTATTATTACAACTGTCCTCAGGAAAGGGTTCATGATGTCAAGCTTCAATTCGTAACTTAATTTGTACAAATAGTCATGTCAAAACCGTCACAAGAAGTGGCATGTTTTCAGGTAGAAGAATGCATACTATTAGATATCCATAGTGCACTCCTGGCCTTAACTGTAAAACTTAAAATATTTCCAGGAATAAAGAAACTATAGGTCAGCTTTACTAATCCAAGTGTGAGGTTAGTCTACATGTAAAGTTCCCCAATGGCCATCTTCACTCACATTATGTCTCTTAAACCACCTGCCAGGTCTGTAGTGGTCAATCTGACCACTGCCACCTGCCAGAGCTGCCTCCTTATAGCTTAGTTCAGGCAGGGGAATGTGTGAAAGTTTGCAGCAGGCCAAAGGGCACAAATTGTTCCTCTGGGAAAGAAGTGGCACAGAAGGCCTCTGGAGTTGAAGGTCATATGCCGACTCAACATCACACAACTGAAGGTCACATGACAGCTGAAGGTCACAGTAGTTGGCACCGATCAGATTGAAATTCACCCGAAGCACTTTGCTTTTCAACATTGTTTTCCTGGAGAAGGGGATCGTTGCAGGGGAATGTGTGGAAGGATTTTTGGTGTTACTTGAGTGACCAGCTTCTGTGCTGATGGGGATGTGAGGGGGTTTCCGTGTTACTTGAGTGATTCCCTCTAGTTGAGGTGGTATATAAAGGGTCTTCAGTGCTGAGTGAGTGAGCTATACTCCAGTTAATGGGGGTGTAAAGGGTTTTCAGTGCTACTTCAGTGTCAGAGCTACTCCAGTTGATGGGGGGTGTAAAATCATAAAGGGTTTTCAGTGCTACTTGAGCGAGCCACTCCAGTTGATGGGGTTGTATTTCATGATCTCCCTGTCCAGCTGGTCCTGCCGTTGCCGCTGTTGTCTCGTCTGTTCCCATTTCCACTCCATCAGCTGTGGAGGGGGGGAGGCAATGTTAGGGATGTGTTACAATTTTACAAATAACAATATGCTCCATTAGAATGACAGTTTTTTTTATTTATTTTCATCTCTAAGTGTTACAAATATAATAAATGTAAATTACATACCGTTATACATTTTAGATAGTGAAAAGAGCTGTATATTTGTCACTTTGAATTTCCTTTGTTTTTGAAAATGTTCAAAATGTTCAAAATGTTAAGGCCACACGATTTTGATAATGTTGAGATACTGTGGAATTGGAGTGATATTGTAATATGCTTTTTTACCTTTTTGTTCTCGTCCCTGAAGTGCTGTAAGTACTCAGCTCTCTTGCGGTGGTTCATGGCGTCGTCGGTTAGACACTGCCTGTCATGCTGCACGGCGTACTCACTCTCCTGCTTCCTGTCTCGGAACGATTCCCGCTGCATCTGCATCCGCTCAGCCATCTGCTCCTGCAGGATCAGCCGGATGTTCTTCCTGTAGGAGGAAAAGGATGTGTGCTTCAAGATGTTTCTCCTTGCTAAAATTCCTTTTTCAGGTATTCTGTAGTACACTACTGTTGTGACATCTTAAAGACTCAGACAACTATATCACTTTGCAAGTATTTCAAGACAAGTAAGATCTTTGATGAATCTCTCACCTGTGAAAGGTTTTCTCTAATTACCTGAAGTGCTTTAAGACTAGTACTCACCTGTGAGACTCCTTCTCGGCTGGCGTGCCATAGTAAGGTTTTCTCCAGGAGTTGTGAAAGCGGAAGTGCTCAGCCTGCTGCATGAGGAGGCTGCGCTGCAGGTTGTGGTGATGTGTCTCCACCGTCTCCAGACTGACGTTTCGTCGGCCCTCGTGTGGAGGTGGTCGCAGCGGGTTGAGCCTCGGGATGGGGTGTGTTGCTGTGAGGGTCTTCACGCCGGGTAACGTGTAGATCTTGGTGGCGTGGGGCGGTTTGATCTGCGGCAGGACGGGCACGGTGCTGCTGCAGCGCGACGGAGACGGGCGCTTGGCGCTCCCCATCATCATCATCATCGACAGCCACAGCTCTCCTGCAAAATCTGGGCACAACACAGCAGAACAGCTTTAGCAAAATACTAGTACATGATTGCCCTACATAAAAAATGGGGTAGGGAATGTTCTCAAGTACTACTGCTGCCATAGTAACCCCTGCATCTCCTTTGCGGGCAGTTAGTCATTTCATACTCATTTTCAGTACTTGTCTCTAGCATTGCTGTTTCTGACTTAGGGATAAGACTCATTATTAAGAGGTGCTGTTCCAGTGATACAAATGGATTAAGTTAATGGTCCCTTGGCACTTAAGAAAATTTGTTAAAAAGAGAGAAAAAAGAAATGCTGCCAGCTATGGCAGGAGCCACAAGAATGACACCTGAGTTGGAACGAGTGACCTGTAAAGGCTGGTCTGGGGATTACAGTCGGCCATTACTAAACACACATTAGAGCCTTTACAAAGGACTAATACAAGCCTGGGGCCGTGACTGTGGAGGCTCAGCTGACCGTGACTGTGTGGATTGTTGTGTTTCCATGTTGTTACCACTGCTATTGTTAAGGAAGGGTGAGAGGTACACATAGAAAGAAGCTGTTAAGCCTCAGTTTCTTCTGACAATGTAAGAAAAAACTTGTTTCCCCCTCCAACAAAAGGGAGTTTTTCTCCAGCAATCTAACAAGCCCTCAGTCCTACTACTAGAGACACACTTGTTATTCTACACTTTATCGTAGAAGTGGCTCTACAGAAAACGTCTTTTCTTCTTAGACTACTTGAAGATGTGAAGACTTTACTTGAGGAAATCTATCCTGTGTTCACCTGCCCACGTTTACTTTAATCTCCAAGTAGATGTGTGTGGTTGAGGTGGTTTGCATGGGTCAAGAGATGGGAGACGGTTACTGTACCTGTGTGCTTCATTTCTTCAATATATACTTAGCCTGGGAGAAACACACCACTTACAAACACAGAACTAGCCAAACATCTGCTCGGAGATAAATGATAGCGGCACAGTGGCCACAACAGACTTTTCTCTTCAGTTGTATTATAGATTTTAGTGGTCAAACAAAGAATCAGAACCGCTCTGTTTTTAAAACATCACACAAAGGTTTCTGTTTAACCAGCTGTAACATTCCCACCGGGCACAGCACTTTCACGTCAAATTCAGTCAGTTCACTTTCCTCCAGCTTACACAAGGGACAAAAACATCCCACCAGTGGAAACTTCACCTGGCTCAACTGCAGATATCATTATTTTCTTTTGTTTATTTGCAAACACTGAAAGTTCATCCCTTTGAGAGATCCTGAAAGCGTGGCTCGTGTAGTGGTGGCTAAGTCAACAGTCAAGTTTTATTGTGATTTAAATGATCGTTAACATCAGAATTGTGATAACACTACAGTTGTGATAACATTATACTTGAGATAACATTACAGGTGTGATAACATGTCAAGCTAGTCTTATAACATTTCAGTTGAGAAAATATTACAGGCATGGTAAACTATGGGGGAATATCACAATATTTTGATATCAACATTGCCTCTTTTGAGAAAACTGGTACACTTGTTAGTTTTTTGTTTGTACCAGTTTTCCAGACTTCTGTTCTAAAAAGCTAACGTTACTATTTATAGATGGTTGTTTGTTGCGTGTAACCTTAACTGTTGACTTTTGTGCTGTAACCTGCCAACCACCTGCTGTATAACCTTACAAAAATAACAACAACCTGGTCTCTAAAGTTACCTGTTTTACCCTGCAACTTTAAATCTATCTTGTCAAAATTGCACTAAAAACTGACATTTAATTCTTACACTGTCGGTATTTCACGTGAAATACTAATGCATTGGTAAGAAACTAGCGTTAGCGACATTGTTGTCAGCTGATTGCTCGTAGAAACGCAAGGTTCTGTGCTTAAAATCTTCATTACCGCAGAAGAAGGGCGGCAGTGCTTTAGCTTATAGCTTTGTTTTGTCGATTTTTTTGGCAAGAATTCGAATAGAATGATATAACAGTTAGATTTTGTGAAAATTACCCTGCTCCAAACACGTCGAGTGGCAGCAGCTAGGGCAGGTTTGACAGGAGTTGGACAGACATGGCGACAGTTATGGTGGGTTTCCTGTCGTGTTTGTCAGCTTCAGGTGGCCGAGGATAACAGGGAACCACGGTAAAAAAACTTCACAAACCTCCGGGAGAGCTAAGGAAGCTTCTCTGATGAAAAGACGGGCACAGGAACAGATTTTGCGCCTCAAAACCAGGAGTATGACGGAAGAACAATCTAGAGCCGCCCGCCGGCCTGACTCGCGTATCCCGGCAACCCGACCCGCGCCCGGGCTTGCAGGACTACATTAAACTTATCTTGTCAACAAAACAGTAGATTCTGACCCTCGAGGAAACAAAAAGATGAAAAGGCACTAGCTTACACAGGCCCCGCTATGAAGAGGAATCGTAAATTGATTAACTACACAAAAACTAAGTTGTTGTTGTTGTAATTTGCGCTTCTGGAAACTCCGCTCTTGCAGCGAGGTTGGCTCGGATTTCAGAGTTTAGCAACGAGACAAACTTCTAGCAAGTTTACGCATAAATCTGAACGTCACTTTGCCGCCAAACGGCTGGAAACGGAAAGTTTGAGGACTCACCTTTATGTCGTTTCCCAAAGTTACGGAGAAGTTCATTCGCGGCTTTGCTGGGTTTTCTCCCAGCTGATATCACATGTTTCGCGTCCGGTTGCCATAGAGACTGGGATGGGCCAGCTGTCAGCCTCGCTTCCGTGTCGCTGCTCGCGATGCACGAACGCTACCTGGCGATTTGTAAACGAACTGCAGAACTGGTAATGCAACCACCTGTTAATTTCTTTTTACACATAACCTCTTGGAAAGGTATTTATCAAGGACCTTGGTATTTACGCATGATCTCATTGAAGATATAACGTACAATGGATTTTTGTAGAATTTGTTACTTTTACAGTGACGAGATGTAAAACAGGGATTGTTAAGCCTTTGCGTCCAAATACCATATGAAATTGCCAAGTGTGAAGTGCCATAAAGAAATTAACAGAGGGTTAACAGTTTACTATGTTGTATAAATTATCGTAAATTGCCAAAACTGGCAATTATCAAAATTGAGCAAATCATGTGACTAAATTCCAAAAGTCTCTGTATTGTAAATCATATATAATTTTATTTCAACAATGATTGTAAAAAGCGTATTTTTTGCACATGTTAACAAATATTGACATCAGTTTTCCTATGTACAATAAGAAGATGTTGCTGTATTTCAGGTCTTTGATTACACATCCTAGCTAAAATTCTTGACTAATTGTATCATTGTGGAAGATTTTTTTTACTAAGAATAAAGCTTTGTCTGGACACAACAAACATTTACAGACTCTTACATACAGTAATAAACTCATAGTGCAACATTATAGGTAGACATTCAATTTTTACACAAAAACTTGCACAATAATAGCAACAAGCGGAAGACAAATTGAAAAATGGAAGCCCACAAAAAACAACACTTTGGTCCAAAAGTTTAACAAAAAGTGAAAAGGGGAGACTAGAAAGAGACACACAGGAAGACACAAAATTGTTCATAGAACATCAAGATATACTGGTCTCATGTACAATCTGTACCTAAGTGACCAAATCTGCATGAGGACCACTTGGCCATTGTGGCCACTTCTTGGTGGTGCCTTTACCCCTTATATTATTTTCCCACTGATCCTGGCAATAAGAATCTTGTCTTGTGCCTACCTGTCTACTGTGACTATTTTCTAGAGTGGTCACAGTTTGAACTATAGATTAACCTTATTCTGCAAATTACAATTATAGCACAAAATAATGCTAATGATAAATGCCTTCTGTCTTGCTTTAAATAGAGAATGTCATTTTCCAAAGTCAAGCCCTGCATTCCAACTGCATTTGTTACTGAGTGCACAGGAGCACATGCCATATGAAATTCGAAACTGTTGTGCCCATTTTACAATTTATTAATCAATGTCCTTTCTTTAAGTTAGTGGTAAGGACCTTATCATATAGTCCAGATTGTCAGCCTTGTTTAAAATGACCAGGAGTATTCTTAAACATATGTTGAGCCTCTACTTCTGATAACGGAGTTACACAAAGATGCCCTCTGTACTTTTCTGATACTGAAGAGGCTATAGTTGCACTGAGGTGTTACTTCTGATGCTGCAGCTGCTGAAGTTGTACCAAGGTGTCCTCGGTACTTCTCTCCAACTCTGCTATCAGGCTCTCAGCAATGCGGCTCTTCAAACGTCCAGTTACCTGGGAAATGGAGAAGTTTTTACCTCATTTTTCACTTAGTTCTGGGTTTTAAACTAGACGGTTGTCATAGATGACAAACTAATTACGTGTCTCTTTGTACATGTACATGGTGTCCATGAGTGAGAAGTGTGAATGAGTGTGATGTCAGTATGATGTTGTGTTATTTGTAATTTTAGGGCAGCTGAGACCAACCATGCTATCTGTTGGCATTCATACAAATGCAATCAATTACATTACTATATACATGAAAGGAGACTAGGCCTACTCACAGTTTTGGGCCGTTGCAGTTTGGCCACCCCGTTGGGCTTGGCAGGAGGTCCAGGGGTGAGGGATCGGATGGGCCCCGGGCCGGCTGCAGGCGGCCACAGCGGGCCGCTGGATGTGGGCCACAGGGAAATGTCACTAAAGCCGCTGGACCTGCTCTTCCCTGAGCGTACCCTGGGCTGGGGGGTCCGGGTGGACGTCTGCCGAGCTGGGGGAGAATAAACAGGCTCAGACCCACAACATGACATTCACATATCATGTGTATGACATTTACATTCATTAACATGCCTTTTACATATTCAAGGTCTTGTTCATGGGACAACTGAATACACCTCTTCTAAAACCATTTCAGTCTTGTTTTGCAATGACAGTTTTAGAAAATGTGGTTACTTTTTGATAATTCTATGAAAAGAAGAGACTCTCCTTTCATGCTTGTTTGTTTTCAGGGAAAGGGAAAACTTAAGCCATCTTAATTTTGGGGCCCTCATCAATGACATGAAGTGTGCTCCCAATGACATTTTCTCATGATGAAGTAAGGACAAGCAAACTTACAGACGGTGGTGTTGGCTGTGTACGGCCGCGGCACCACCCCGCTCTCAAAGTCGTAGACCTGTGCCTGCAGCTCATCTACACGCTGGAAGGCGTCTAGTTTCAGGTTCCTCTCGTGGTCGAGCTGTGACTTGATCTGGCTGACAGTTTTCTCTGCTCGCTCCATGCTCAGCCGGCTCAGCTTGCTGGTTTTCTCCTGCTCCTCTGTCAGGTGCCGCAGCCGCTGGTCCTTATCCTCCAGCTCATCCAGCTGCAAAACAGCAACAAATTACAGCTGTGCAGGTGCACAACAGCCTACAGGTGCACAACAGAGCCTACAGGTGTGCAGGTGCACAACAACAACGTAGCAATGCAGCTGCAAAACTACAGCTTGTGGCTGTGTAACTGCATAAGAACAACTTGTTGTAATCTTTGTATCCCTATGACCTGGATTATTCTGTACTGAGCAGAAAAGTTGTACCAGACAAAAGTGGGATTGCTGAAAGCTTGCTACACCCACCAGTTTCTCAATGTTGGAAGTTTTTGCTGACTCCAGCTGTTTTTTGCTGCGGGCCCGCTGAAGCTCCATGTGCTCACGCTCCTTTTTCTCCTTCTCCTGTAAACAGACAACGAACAGCATTTGAAATTGTCATAATATAATATTGTCCTGACATTCAATTTTTAAATGCTGTTCTACTTAACAGACAGGACTCACTGCATCGGCAAGGGAAACATGACTCTAAACAAACATGCCGTACCTCCTGCTCCACCTTCTTCTTGATGGCGAGATATTCCTGCTCCGACTGTTGGAGGGCCTGGAATATAAAAAATCAGCAACAACATATTGTCAGCATCTTCTCTGCATGGGACTGAACTTAAATTTTAAAACAGTAAGAACCTTATACTTCAGCTGATGCTGCAGGGTCACAATTTGAAGCTTGAGGGAATTTTCCAAATGAAATTTGTGTTGTGACAAATTTCTAACTAGCACATCTGAAACCAGTCTTGTGTCTAACTAGCACATCTGTCAACAGTCTTGGTTCTAATCATCTGCTACCAGCCTTGCCAGGTTATAACTAGCAAACCCCACTGGCATTCTAGCTTTGGCCTACCCAGCACACCCTATGACTATTATTTCTATGGACCTATTGACAAAATTCACTTACATTGTGCCAGACGAGTGTACATCCTACCAGCATCTTCCTTCTAGGTCCTATTATAAGCTACACATTTCAGACCAGGTGCTAGTCTACATCTGACTAGTCTACCCAAAACCAGGACAGAGCTTGGCCCAGCAACATATGGCTAGTCAACAGGAGACTGGGACAGAGTCTAGTGCAAAAACATCTGTCTAGTCTACAGGAAACCAGGACAGGGTCCAGCACAACTTGCCTTCACAGCAGACACCTTGAAATTCCAAGCCTAAAGTTCCCAAGGACACAAACAGTTACACAGCAGGACAGCAGGCAAGGTCAAGACAAGGTCATACAACAATGGTCACAAGGTCATAAAACAACACAAAAGGTCAAGACAAGGACACATAACATGTAAAGATCAAGACAAGGTCACAGAACACCAAAGACAAGGACACACAATAGGTAAGTTCAAGACAAGGTCATAATACAGCAAAGACAAGGTCACACAACAGGAAAGGTCACATAACAGGGAGGTTATGACAAGTTTGTACATGTACAATGCAGTCTTACGAATTAAGTCATTTTGCAGTTCTTGGGCACTGACCATAACATTCATGTACATGTAATTGCTAAAATCTCAGTTACAATTTGACTATCACATAACCAATTTCGACTTGACAGTCAGATGTACATGCCGTACACCAAGTATGAACTGCTGCTGCCAAAGTCAGATGATACCCTGTTTGTGTGTTTGTTTGTTTGTTATGAGAAGTGAGATAGGTACCTTGCGGAGTGCGAGCTGTTGCTGTCGAAGTAAGATGACCTCCTCTTCAGCGTTCATCTTAATCTGCAGACATTCCTTCTTGTTCTTGGACACCTCCTTCTGCAGCTCAGAGATCTAAAAAAAGGCATTATCTCCTTACTATGATCATGAAGTAAAGCACATTCTTTTAAAAGTAAATTATAAGAAAGAAATTATAAGAAATGTTTGACTGAGTCTAGATCTGCCTGTATTCCCTAACAGGTACTGACCCTGACAAATGATCCTACTCATAACCAATACCAACCCTAATCCCTGACCTATCCATACTAGAATCAATACTGACCCTAGCCCCTGACCCTAGCCCTGTACTTACAGACTTGTGGAAGTCTCCCTTAATCTTGGTGCTTTTCCACATGACCATGGCCTTGCTCTTGGACAGGACGCGGCTCAGCTGGCTGTTCTCGTGTTGAAGCGCCCGAAGCTCTGCCGCACGGCGCATGTTCCGGGCTCGGATCTCGTCCTCTGCAACAGCAGGGGCAACAAGACCACATCAATTCAATTTGTTGTTTCTTGGATTTCAAGTTTGAGTTTTAGTGCAGTAATACTAAGTGTACTAATATGCAGTGCTTTACACTATCCAGTTTGAGTTAGTATGTAAGATATTTACCTGGCACGCCTCCTTCTCTCTGCTTGAGTTTGGAGATGGCATCATCAGCCTCCACCCTGGTCTCTGCCACCTTCTCACACAGGATGTCATGTAGGTTCAGTCTGGAGGGGAGGGGGGAGAGTTTGGGGGTTAGGATTTCTCAGTGAACAACAGTTCAAGCTCCATTCCAGTACACAACATACTGCAGGGCTCTCCTGACAATAGGGCTAATCAAATATGGACCTACATGATATGGAGAAGACATCCTGCTACTTTAAGTATTTAAACGTCTTAAGGAGCAGACATATGCTCACCTGAAGTCATCAAACTTCTTCATGAGTTCGAACTGCGAGGAGAAGAGGTCCTCGACCAGCTCATCGTACTCGCACTTGACCTGCTCACGGATGTCCCGCTCCTGTGTGAAGGTCATCTCACGCATCTCCGCGACCTTGGCACGCAGCGCAGTGATCTCTGGAAGGGCAGAAGTCTGTTATGAACATGCCACCGTGTCATCAGTTTCATCAAAGTTCATCCATTATAACATTCTTCATACTTCTTGTTCTAACTTTTAGGTGACATCTTAGACAGACAGTATCTATCGGACCACAGCCTTACCCAGGATCAGCTCCCCATATCTGTCAGCCAGCTGACACTGCACTTCCACCAGGGAGTCGCCAGGGGGCTCTCCTGCACCTGAACTACAGTGCTTCAGCTCCTGGGTGGTAAAAAAGAAAATAAAAGAAAATTGTTTGTTTTGAGTAAGGTCCACAAAAGCTGCCATTTTGTAGATAGATGCATGGTCATTGTGATACATTTTGTACCTGAGGTCTCATCATGACAACCTTAGCAGAACTACAGGACTTCAAGTACAAGAGGTTACATCCCATCTGCACAGTAGTGCCGCTACATCAGCTGCTGGTACTGTACAGTAGTGCCACCTACCTGTTCCTTCTGGTACATCAGCTGATGGTACTGCCTCAGCAGGTTCTCATAAAACATGGTGTAGCTCTCGTAGGTGGTTCTCTCCCGGCCCATCACAGCCGAGGCCAGCTGGGACAGACAAGTCTGAAGATGCTCCTGTAAAACAGATCACAGGTCTGTTTTAGTATGGGATCATGGGATCGTATTACAGAATTGGCAATTATTTCCAGTAGCATGCAAGTCCTTTGGGTGACAAGTGCTGGGAATCCAACACTGGTTCTGAAGCTGGGTTCCTACCTACTGTATCATACACACCAGCAGCAACACTGCTGCAGATGGAGGAAGTCCATGTTTAACAGTGTTCATTGCTAGAGGACGTCATACAATCACTCTGCAGAATGCACAACAAAGGAAATCCTTGACCCTGACCTTGGAGAAGGTGATGGAGGTTCCGTTTTCCTGACATGAGGACATCAAGGCTTGGGAGAAGTCTTCCACCAGGTGGGGCTTGGCAATGGTGAAACTCTCCTTCATGGCCTGCAAGAAAAAAAAAAAAAATCTATGATATGATAGTGTACTTGCACATGTGCATGACTTATCTCTAACCTTCTGGTTGTTTCAGATCAATGGGCAGTGCTTTCTCCTGTCTGTGCTCATGTAGAACCAGTATGTGGTCTGGACATGATTTATATTGTGCTATTGTGCTATGTGTCTGATCCATAACCTACCGGTCGTTTCCACAGGTCTGTTGGCAGGGCTGTCTCCTCCCTTCCCCGCTCATTCAGTACCAGCCCGTGTTCCTTGGAGATCTTCTTACGCACCTCGTAGATCATGTGACACTCCAAGTTGTCCAGCAGTTTCAACAACTGAAGGGAAAACAAGCAAGGTAATCAGATATGGCAGACTTCTCCTGAGGTGCCACCAAAAAGGGAAATGCACAAATGCAGACACAAATATAGTCACCACCACCCATGATATTAAATCAATATTAACTGTTTGTACCTGCTGCACTCTGGTCTCGAACTCCGATGCTCCCTTTGGCATCACCAGTGGTTCATCGTCGGACACCATCCCGTCATAGTCATCACCCTGGGGACACACATTAGCACAGATTCTCACAGATCCTCAAACACACTAGAGATAAAATCTAGAACTTGCTGAAGACCTTACTTGACAAAGTCCAATTTTTTGTATGTCATGGGAATAAGTCAAACATTGACGTGACATGTTTTCCAACTGTAGTGATTTTTTCTATCAAGGTTGTTGGAATCATGTCTGATATTACAAGGCCAACAAACTCAGAAAACCCTGGCTCAAAGCTATCTGTACTGACCTGCCCCAGTCTCCTGGCCAGACTCCTCAGCACCGGGTAGTGAATCTCAGCTTTGTACATTTTACTGGGGACAGAAAGATCTTATTCAGCACCTTCATAACTTCATGACAGTCAAACAGGCTGATCAGGGACTAGGTACAAAGTATGAGTGGTCATTAACTATACTGTGGAGAAGGTATTCATGAATCACACATTTAAACATGTATCAAGCTCTAGGCTGCAAACTTTGGTCTCTAAACCCCTGACCCTACCAGAAGAGTCTGTAGTCCCGGGGGTTCTCCAGGCTGCTCACTGCCAGTTTCCGCTCCCCCCACTCCTGCTTGAAGGCCTCCAGGCGTTTCCATAGCAACAGGAAGTCCTTAAGCAGCTGGTGGGCCTCCAGGGGGTGTTCCCGCCGAGACAGGGGCTTCTTCTCTGGAATACAATGTGAGTATTGAAAAGTCAGATACATGAAATACAACACAAGTGTAGGCAAGATGTAGATATGAAAAGGTATTTAAAACTATCACTGTTATTGCAGACCTTTCCATTTAAGTTGCAGACTAACATAGTTTCTGCTGCACATGTGCCACAAACTTTATACATGTTCTAAAATAATTACAGGATTGTGTAAGCCAAGCACTGCAACTGCATGTATAACCTCACCAGGAGCCTCACTCTTCCCACTCTTGACAGAGGGAGCGTAGCCACTGATGCTGCTCATGGGTCGTGACTTGTTCCCCTTCTCTGCAGCCTTCCTCGCAGACTGGTCGCCCTCATCATCCGAGTCTTCCACACGCTCCATGGAGATGGCGCCAGGAGACCCACTCACTAGGATGTCCTCCATCAGCAATGACACACCCAGGATCTCTCCATTAGCTCCAGCCCTACACATCAACACAACCACGTCAGCTACAACACACCCAGGATTTCTCCATTAGCTCCAGCCCTACACATCAACACACCCACATCAGCTTCAACACACCCAGGATCTCTCCATTAGCTCCAGCCCTACACATCAACACAACCATTTGAGCTACAATAACTTTGAGGAACACTGCATAATATTGTACAGTTAGACAATATGGATCTGATATCATGTAGCATCGATTTAATGCCTAAGACAGTAAAGATAATCTGACATGATGAAGGGAGTGATTAAGGAAGAAACTTGGCATGATTGTTATCTTACCTGTCAACATCGGTGAGTCCTGCCAGACACAGCTGCATGTTGTGCTCAATCTGGTGCCACTGGGGGAACAGTCCTGGGAATGGTCCAAATCTGCAGGGGGGCACAACATAAAACATCATGGTTTCATCACTGGATACAGTTACTGGAATGTATAACTTCTCAATCCTAGTAAAAGAGGTTGTTACTTAGTATATTAGACAGGTTTACAGTACATAGCTAGGTGTGTACCTGTGTACTAGGTGTGAGAACTATACCTGTGTTGGAATGTTCTCCATGGAAACAGTTCCAGAGCCTGAGCATCAGTAGCCTGTAGTGGCTGTGGCAGGGGCAGGGACATGTTGTACAGACTGGGCTGTAGCTCACTGCTCAGTTTCCCCAGTCCAAACTGCATGTTGTCTGTTACTGCCTGTTGGTAGACAAAATAACTTATGGGTAATAAGTACATATATCTAGGTCACCAACAGTTCCCAACAAGCTACTAGCATTTCCACAGTCAATAATAGTTGCAATGTCCATGAACCGATCCAGTCATAGCTTCCATGTCACAAGTTCTGCTTGTAACTCCAGTGCATGACACTGAAACATGTACTGAATACTAAACAAATGTTACCCTGTAAGCATCCGTGTTGCCTGTTGTCAGGAAAGTGTGCCGGATGCAGTGTCGTATCGCTGCATCAAACTCCAGGAACATGACGTCTCTGCGCAGCTGCAGGAAATCTGCCACCTGATGCGGGTCCTGTGGGTCAGGCAGGTGCTCCAGCTGCTTCTGGATTTCCCGCAGGTCGGCACCTGGAGACGCATAATTTTATAACACTCAGAAGTGAGTCCACCATTCTATTGATCAGCAGCCTGTTTCTTCCCATCCACATGTATTCATCAACAACCCCATTCTAGTACATGTAACTTGCAGGCCCATTCTAGTCCTCAGCAGCTGCACTCAATTCATCTACAGCCCCATTTTAATCATCTGCTTTCCCATTTTGTCAATCTGTAGCCCATCCTATTCATCCATAGCCCCATTCTAGTCATCTGTAGCCCCATTCTTAACATCCCTGTACCCATTTTAGTCGTCAACAGCCCATTCTTGTCATTGTGATAACCAGCAGCCCTATGCCAACCCCTAAGCAATATCTGTTTTGTTCCCTACCAAGCCCTAAGCATTGATCTCTCAAAGTTTCCTTACCGATGCCCTCCACACCTCCCCACTCTGCAGTGACGAAGCCTCTGGGTTCCGATCCTGCCATGGTGGTGTTACTGCCCAGTTTGGAGTGAGCACAGAGGTAGTGGCATATGTCATGCAGCATGGACACTATTCTCAGGGTCAGACGCAGGGCCTGGGGGGAAAGAAAACTCACAGTCCTCAGCACAGACCTTATGGGAAATGAAGAGATGAGAGTGCAACACAAGACATGCATGAGACAACACAATGGGAACAGAACAGCTACATGTAACACTCTTCCCCACATGTCTGGAGGGTGAGTTAGATTTGCTTAAGGTATGGCTAAAGAGTGGCCTGCATTTTGCTTGGGCTAATGGTAGTACAAAATGTATTACTGTAAGGTTTCCTGCAGTTGTGCTGTGTTTACATATCATACCTTTGTGCAGGTTTCCTCATCTGAAGACTTGAACATGACAAGGACCTCAGAGTGATGTGGAATGAACCACAAGTTGACCAGGGATGCTCCGTCAGCTGTTAAGATCCGTCTTGGGCGTTTCTTCATCACCCTACAGTACACACATGTATCACTTAGTATGTGCAGTGCAAACAGCAGGTACAAACAGCAGTGGCCCAAGGACTAAGCCTTGAGGTACACAAAACTTCACACTGAACAAGTTATACAAGCATGTCTACCACCATAAACCCAGGAAACCTTGCTGACCTGGCATCCGGTATCAGACCCTGCACATCGTCTTGGTCTGTTTTCCTTTCGTTTGCTGTGCCAATCAGGAAGTAGTTCTCCCTGAAGAAGACAGGAACATGGCATAAAGTCATTCTTCTGGTTCAAAATAATAAATATCTGAACATCAGCCTACATCTAAAACAATGATTAAAGCAGATGATGTGATGTGATGATAAACAATGATTGGTAACAACAAAACAACTTGACATGTGCCAATAGTTAACCGTACTTGATATCAGGAAACTCCTCCAGCAGAGCCACCAGACTGTTAATGTAGGCGATGATCTGACTGCGGAGGGAGTACTGCAGCACACGCTGGTGGAACCTCTGGCAAAATGTTGTCAGTAAGGATCTGTGGAGGACAATAACAAAGTTACAATATGCATGAATCTTTGAGCTGAGCTCACTTAAAAGAACAAAGTGATTTATTTTCCTGTCAGAAAACAGGCCCATGCTGCAGATGCTATCATTTCATCTGGCAGAGTCAAGTTTGTGTTTACTGTGTTGCCTGATGGGCATTACCTTTTCAGTTTTGCCACCTCCTCAGGGTTTTTCAGTATGGTGGACATGGCAGTCTTCTTCTGTAGGAACTCATTAAGCATCAGGTCTCGACACGGAGCCTACAAGGGTGGGGTAATACATCAGCCAACATATTGATCTATATTTGCCTGTCAGTAATGCTAAGAATCATTGCAAATACTGTCGGATAAACAAGTTGAAGCTCTAGTTTTCATCCAGCCGAAGAGGTTGACATAGAACCAACAGAACATATGAAGACACAGTATTTTTCTAAACAAGAGAAAGGTACTGTAACGGTTACAGTAAGACTTCTCACCTTTTCTAGCTGCAGGGAGATGAAGGCCTCTGGAGAACGCTTCTCCTTGTCCATCTTGGAGCGCAGCTTGGCAGCGAATGCGGAAGCGGAGCTGCCTACACCAAGCCCCCCTCCCGCAGAAACAGCAGTGGTCGCTGTCAGGGAGCTGTGCAGACTTAACGTTTCTGTGGGAGACTTGGTGCCACTGCAACAGCAAGAACAACCTCTTAGGGGTTAGTCTCTCTCTGATAGGGGTCATTAGGGCTATCTATGAAGTCATTCTGTATTATAGACTTGCTGCTGCAAGGGTAAGAATATGTCTTAGGTGTTATCCAGGCTATAATAGAGGTCATCCTGTCTATTAAGCTGTAAGGACATGAACAATGTTTAGGACGTCCATATCTTTGTTCTACAGGTCATTCTGCATGTCTTCATCTAAGGGGTCATTTTGATTATCAACTTAATCCCTCCTGTTATTTATGACATGTCTAAAACCAGACCCACCTCCTGCTCTCTGCATCTCCCTTACTGAAGTCCTTCTGCTGCCAGCAGACATTAGCTTGCTGCACGGCACACAGAAGGGCGTTCTTGTGGACAACCTGGCACAGCAGCACAACCTGCAGGTTATCCAGGGCTGTCCCTGTCATCAGCTGAACAGGACAGGAAGAAGGTGTCAATCATCATAAATCAAACATCCTTCATTGAACAGTACATCCACAAGATGCCATACAATATAGACGAACAAACAGTGAAACTGACAAAAGAAGACCTGATCTTGATTAGAGCAGTACTGTACTGACCTTGACAATGGCTTCTTTAGTCCTGAAGGAGAACATGCCGAGGTGTTTCTCATCCAACTCATGTATCGCAAGTGGCAGGGAGCCGGGGAGGTACCTAAACAGGGAAAAAAAACAAATCACAGATCAATGACAGACTTCACTCCCTTACCCATGCTGAATTCCCCTCTCCAGTCCCACAGACAAACTTGAGCTTGTGGACATCAGTGACAACAGTGTGCATTGAGTATGTGGGGAACCATAGAAACACACACAAACAGACAGACAAATCAATCTGCTATCAGTGTGCATGGGAAGCAGATTATGAGCAACAAATGCATTGTGAGCAGTGGAAAACAAATCTTCAGACAGACCTGTCAACGATTGACTCATCCTCCATGACTGCGGTGATGAAGATGGGACCAGTGTCGATGTTTTCTTTCCGGGAGGCAAACTCAAACTGAACCATGCGCAGGTAAGTGTGGTACTCATCAAACCCCATCTCAAACGCTGACTGCTTATACAGCTGGGGTAGGAAAGAAACACATGATTCCTTCAGCATTCTGGTTTCACCTGGCCTAACCAGAACTCTGCTGGCACAACTATTGACTTACGGGCACAAGCATATGTGCAATTCTACATTGTGATAATGCATCTCCACCATGTCTTCCATTTGGTAGTGACTTCCCTTTTGGAACTGTACAACTGCAACCCTTCACAGAAACTGTGACAAATTAACTATTCAAAAGCCCTTAATCACAGCTATTTAGCTAAACAGAATTATGACGGTTCATTGAGGTATTTTACTGTACCGTGGAGAGGATGCTGGACTCCCAGGCTGCCTCTAGTAGGCGATGCCGAACTGTCACCACCTGAAACAAATAAACAAACAAGGATATATTCCACTGTGGGTAATACCTGTCACCCTGCAAACAAGTCAACAAAATCTGATAAAACCATGACTGAGCAATCACCACTCCACACAACTGACACTGCTGTTGCAGCAGAAATCAGACTGAACCTGCCCCTCACCTCCAACAGTTTAGACCAGACATTGAGCATGGTTGTGCGTCGCTCCTTAGCCGTGCGCCTCTGCCCCCCAGCACTCTCCTCCTGGCTGACTAGCTCGTTCCCAATCTCACACAGGAAAGCAGGGTTGTCCACAAAAATGTCTGAAAACATCTGGAAAAAAGCAGAGACAAAATCTCCACAAAATTGTCTGAGAACATCTGAAAAACAACAGGACAAAACCTCTACAAAAATGTCATAGAACATCTAAAAACAACAAGTGACTTACATCTACCTGCAGCTGCTGCAAAAGTGAAAGTATTGGGTCTGCCTGCAGCAGCTGTAAAAGTGAAAGTACTTACGTCTGCTTGCAGCTGAGGGGAGTATGCTGCACCAAGGGGCTCCATCTTCTCCCACTCCTTAAGGGCTGCCTCAAGGATCTGGTGCTCCAGGGAGATCATCTGGGTAGACGTCTTCACACTCGCCTTGTTCATGTATATCAGCTCCTGCAAAGTCAATCACAAAGTCAGTCACACATGGAGATGCATGATATGCACGAGAATGAGAGTATGATAAAACAGGTGATCTGCACCCCTCAGGATCAATGGACTCACCCAGAAGGCATGGTTGATTGCCTGTGGTATCCGGCTAGCCACACCTAGCGACGGGTGGAACTCCAGCATGTAGACATGTTTCAGGGCTGGTCTGTGATGGTAAAGGGAGAGGATTTTAATCACGCAGCTTCTTCATTCTAGAATCTTGTCATCACCAAAACAGCTAAACAACAATTGGCAATAGCTACAGTATGTACATGTATGTAAGGCATGATAGAACACAACCAACTGCCACAATGTGAGTGAGAGGCTAAGGCAGTTTCATACTGCTTCCATAATACAGATACATGTGGTTTGGTTCTTACTTGCTGAAGTTGATGGCCACAGGCTGTTTGGGGATGATTTTTGGAGGCAGCCCAAACTCAAACGCTCTTCCCTCTGTCAGCTTCCCCACGTAGTCACGCTGTTCCTCAATCTGTAACAGCAGAACACACAGAAGCGTTTAAATTACCCACTCAAACAGTCACATTATTTTCATACATCTATACTCACATCTGTCTACACAACACAACACAATGCAACACAACAGTTGTAGCTATGATCTCTTCAAAGTTCTCTACGACAGATATTTATTCCACAAATTTTCAAGGACATTTTCTATATAATGATAGTGTAATCCTTATAACTATGAAAGATGAATTGACAGTGTTTCTTTGTGTTCTGCTGGTCAGGCTCAGTTACACTGCCTGAGTTTTGCCAGGATGCAATTCAAACTTATCTAAGAAAATGGATTTTAAGATGAAGACAGTTGCACCTGTTTGTCCAGCACAGACTTGACAAGCTGGGCCTGGAGTCTCAACACGACACACTCTGCACGGTAAGTCTTCACAAAGTAGTCAAGTGTGAAGTCTATCCGTGGCCGCTGGTTCATCACTGTTGTCATGACAGCAGACAGCTCCTGCTTCTCCTGCGTATCAAACACGTGATGGTACGCCTCCAGGTAGCAGTCCAGCAGCTGGGATAAACAATAAACAAAGGCAAATAAATAAACATGTGATGGTGTACCTAAAGGTTAGCAGTTCAGCAGCTGGGCTATAAACAAATAAACATGGCTTTATGTCTCCAGGTAGAAGTTCACCGGCCTACCTGCCGTTTACTCTCCAGGTACATGGCCTCATTGGTCCACAGGTCCAGCAGCACGGCAAACCTGTCCACAGGGACGTGGCCGTACGCTGACAGGTTGACTCCCCCCACTGACTGCTGTCTCCTCAGCGCTGATCCCGTTCTCGTCTCCAGCTCTCGGTTCTCCTTGTCCTTCTCAATGAAGTGGCTGGCAACAAGCAGCAGGTCATGTTCAAGTTCCCTGTGGGGGAAAGGGACACCTTGGGTCATGAAAGGGACACAGATCAGATTGCAATTTAATGGGAAACATGGTATATCCAACTGGTTACGATGACAACAGCCTGTCTAACTGGTTACCTGAGTGCGTCAATGGCGTGGTCGTACATGACGTAGAACCCCCGCTGGTCCTGCACGTGGATCCGCCCCTCCTCGTACGTGTAGAAGTCGTCGTGGTTCTCGATGTCTGAGAACTCCATAAACTCCATCTCGTTTAACCTGCAGAGGAAGGTTCTAGCTGCCATGACCATACATAAAATGACATGTGTTGTGCTTACCTATAAACTGCAGGTGTGTTATGCTTACCTGTAATCTGCAGGTGTGTTATGTACATAGTGATGAGATCCAATCCCTGCTGAACTCTGGTTACTGCAAAGGTACAAAAAAATAGACTGTCAAAACAACAATGTCCAGCAAAATTACTATCAAATCATGATAAAGGCCTCTGTCATTAATTGTCAGAGTTATGATTACCTTTCACTTTAGTTAGCATATAAAACTGTAGAGCTATATGGCAACCGTAAGAACAAGCATGTCAGACCTGCTCTTGAGGTGCCCTGCCTCCAGGGACAGGCCTCTCTCGTTAATGGTCAGGGTTCTCTCCACGGAACAGAAGTAGTTCAGGATGCTCAAACACTGAAACATGGCAGGGACAGCAGGATTTTGTTAGCAGACAGATTAAATGCATATCCTTTGAACTGTGTTTGACGTGTACATGGTACATATTGCAATACTGTAACCTAAGGGCACCTTTCCAGTTAGGTGTACAACAAGGACAGGTGTACAGCAAGGACAGGTGTATGGACTAATCCCTTTAGGTCCCTGATTTTCTAGGTGTAAGAAAAACAGCTAATAATGCAACACCACTGCCACAACATCAAACAAGGTGGGACTAACCGATCTCTTCAGGTCCCTGAGTCGCAGGTGGCGTAGGTACAGAAACGACAGGTACGCCCCCTGCATGACGCTCGGCTCGTGGCTCGTGTCGTCCCCCTCGTCCAACCCCAGCATCTGCATCGTGTTCCCGTAGTCGTAGCTCTCCTGGCGTTTCCGCCCGCTGCCTGTCCGCGCCTTGCTCGTCAGGTCCACATTATCCACGTTCTTCTCATCAATGTCTACCAGGTCCAACTCGTCTTCTTTACTCGACCTGCAAGGGAAGGCAATAATTGAACACAACAGATCCAACACAGTTCTGTATCAGCTCACACCAGGTCATTTCTAAACTATTATAATTCTTACTGTCTTGTTGGGGGTTCATTTGGGCTACCTGCACTAGCCAGTGCGCAGACTATAGCTACTGATTCAGAAGTCACAATATGTACAGTGTATCACAGCTTAAGATTTGATTACTACACTGTCTTACTACACATCCTGCATGCTATATATAGTATTTTAATAATATTTTAGTACACACTGCAGCAAACGTACTTCCTGTCCAGTTCAGGATTGGTGTAGATTTTCTGCCACAGCACTTGTGTGTTGGTAGCCTGCGTGCTGCGATGAGAAGTCACGGAGACCTCGATAATTGGTGGTGGGTCCCGGACAGCAATGGCATGTTCTCGCAGTGACTCCAGCACTTTCTGTAAATCAGAATTATCCTTAATTAGGTGCTTTGCTGTTCTTGTCACTAATGCAGAGTGATTTTAGAAGCCTTAATGAGCAGGCATGGACTAGTTACCAGCCAAAACAACATGAAAATTTACACTAAAAAATAGCGAATGAAAACAGCCACTCAGCATAAACTCAGTCCCATATGTAACATCAAGGCTGCACAACTAACCCTATCAGATCAGCACAACTCACCTCTACATCAGGAACTTCCAGAAACTTGCACTGTGCCCGGAGTAGCTGTGGGAAAACAAACACATAAACATGTCAAACTTCAGACAGAATCACAAACAGGCTCCTAAGAAAAATCAGGAAAACAGACCCAAAACATGTAAACAGAACCTGGTAGTCTTTACTGACCTCATCAATGTTATTCTCCTGACGAAGTTTTGTCATCATCTTTTGTTGGAACGGCTCCTTCTGTGGTCTGATGGGGGAATCAGTATTATCATAGTAATATAATAATATTATACTTATCTGATAGTGTCCACACTTATAATACTGTTTCTACAATGTACAGAATATATATAGTCTGATGGGGAAACCAAAGACTAAGTAACTGTCAGACTGCTAGCATAGTCCAGTGGGTACAATACCTGATTCTGACAAACGGCCGCCAAGGACAGTCCTTACGGAGTGAGTGGGAAGGTTTGTCAGCTCCCCAGGCATCTGCTCCAGCCTACACCACAGGCAGGGAAATATAGAAAAATATTACAAACTTTCCAGTGCAAGTGTCTACATTTCCTGCCCATGTCTGTTCTGAGTTCTAAATGGTAGCACTACAAAGAATTGCCTGCTGCCTCTTAGGCTAGTATTTTACAAAGTGGTATAATTTAGGCAATATTAAAGTACTAACTGACCCCACCTACCTCAACTCTGTCGTATGTTGGGAAGGTTTTGTACTGCTCCTGTTTGTTGAAGAGAGTTTTAAACTTGCGGTTGACATGAGAAAACAGCTCCATTTCATCTGCACTTGTCACAATCTGGTTCATGTCCTGTAATAGCAGTGGAGAATTACAAACAATTACACCACAGGCCTATACAAAGACGGAAACTGCAGCATAGTGGAAAATGTCTTTTTGCTGGATGAAAGGTTTATTTCTAAAGTGACTATCACTACAGATGGACTTTCATATGTAATATGTAGAATCTATATTGAGATAATGTACATATTGGGAGTGACTGTTAAGTCTATATAATACTGATAGAACACAGAGAACCCCCACCATGCTGATGTTGTAGCAGGTTAACAGGAACTCCAGCAGAGGTCGGAGGTCTTCAAAGTCCATGAGGTGCAGCGGCAGACCAAGGGTCGTCTGGTTAGATGCCAGCCCACCACCTGGGGACAGCCAGACAATTTATTATAAAAAATTTCTGTAGCAAAGTTTCTTCATTGCTGCAGCATTGACATGATATGTCAGGAACATTGAAAATTCTACATGTAAAAGTAAACATTCTATGATGCCATTAATCTCCAAGCAGATCTTTTGGTGGGGGTAAGACAGTATCAAATTGGCCAGTCTGTATCCATTTCCCCACAGTTACAGACTGGCCAATTTGATACTGTCTTACCCCCACCAAAAGATCTGCTTGGAGATTATGATTCCATATAGTGAAAGACAGAGACTCAAAACAACTTTAGCTTATTCTGCTATCAGTCAGAGTAACTACCATTACACTTCTATTCCAGTTGAGTGAGAAACATTTTTTGTTAAAGTGCACTCACCTGCAGCAGCCATTTCTGGCAGTAGGGATGAGCCTGGCATGGAGGTCATGCTGGCAGGGATAGCAGGGGGAACAACACGTCCTGCTGAAGTCACCGACACGCCCGACAGGGGGCGGGGGGAGCGTCTCCCCGGGGAAGGGACATGGATCCCTGGGGTGGGGTCTTCTCGCTGGTGTTTCAGCACAATAGCGTCACCATCCTGGGGAGGGAACAGGTCATGTTAACTATTTCATTTCATATATTTTATTGATCCAGGAACTTCATATTGCCATTTTTCAAAGTGCCCTATCAGGGTTGAGGGAGCATCTCCCTGGAATGGGGACTTAAATCCTTGGGGAAAGGGCTTAAGCACACTGCAGTCATATGTTTACTGAACAGTTACAATAATTGAAAATTTTATACATTTCCTGGTGTTAATATCCAGGTGCAGGCTCACAACACTATATGATAACAGAGTACAGAGGTGGGTAAACAATGGGAGACCTCACCTCATCACCATCAGCCTCCAGTGGAGGGGGTGCAATGGACGACTTGTACGTCGCTGGGAGCCACTGCAGCACCTGGTAGGAACAACAAGCATTATATCTTGTAAAACATGTATACATTATCATCACTGTGACACATGTGTACCCAGGCAAAAACTTGAATTCCCTCTAGCTTTGTTTTTATGATATTCTATGAGAACATTGGAGTGAGAAGGGGTGAGTTTACCTTAACATAAGCACAGATCTTCCTGATGGAGTGCAGATGACAGGTGAGCCAGCGCAGGTAGATCTGCAGGTCTTCGGGTGTCAGCTGGCTGCAGGGCTGAGCAGGATTACCTGCAAGAAGGGCTTCTCTCACCACTGATAGCCGCTGGGCTCGCTCCAACGCATCCCGGTACTCACCCATGATCTGGCTACAGAAGGTATACAGGCACACATGTCACATCTAACTATGACTTTAACTCTAACACCTAACTGTAGCTCACACCAGGCACAATGCTTTTTCATAAAGTCAAAAATCTGCACCAGAGTCTACAGCCTTATGTACGTACTCAAGCCTGCTGTGATAGTGTGGGTACATGGTCTCCATCACATTGGTGTGTCGACAGAACCTCTTCCACCGCAGCATGTGCATGTGTTTACACTGAACCAGCTCCTGGATTCGGTCCAGGTAAAACTGAAACAACAGGAAAGATGCACATGGTAACACTGAATCAGCTTCTGGATCCAGTCTGGATAAAACTGAAACAATGGGAAATGTGCACATGTTTATACTGGAAGGAGGGAAACATGACACTGTATTTACCTGGTGCAGCAGCAGGGGAAGGCTCTCTGCTGTGTACTCCTTCTTCAGACATCCTTCCATTTCTTCCTGCAACACCTCTGCCTGCACCAGGAGTGGGCGTGCCCCTGTAACCTAGCAACAAGAGATACACGGTATTACATTACTGTCTTGGTTCCATACTTGAAGACTTCTATTAGACATTACAGCTAATTATGCCCTATTGGTGTTTTCCTAGGAAAATTTAAGCAGAATTTTGGAGATATGCAAACATTATTAGGATTGTAATACTACTAATAGTTTTGTTAGTAATAGTTTTGTGTAAAACCTGACAAGCCTTACCTGTAGAGCCTTGTCAAAGGCCAGCTGTCGCTCCCTGCAGAAGTGCTCATGACTCTTTGGCCACGGAACAGAACTGTGGAGGAAACAGTGGACAGGTGTTTGTCTTGATTGTGAGAAACTACATCACCAGATCTACATGGAGTTTTTACAGTCCAGCAGAGTAGAAACAACCAATACAAATTTTTCTTACCTGATGCTCCTGTTGGGCTGTCCTGAGAGAAGTTCATTCTCCTCAATATCTGCCTTCAGGTCCTCCAGCTCCTGCTGAAGCTCTGACTCCAGCTCCCGAATCTTCCCGCTCCCAGAAACCGTGTAGCTGAACTCTGCCATCACCACATCATTATTAACCTGGGAAGGGTGAAGAACAGTCTCTGTCATTGGAAACTCCATGGGTAGGTTGCAGTCAAGGACTGATGAAATTTAGGAAGAACTTTAACTGACTTTTAAGGGTCTAACAAAAGCTTGTTGGAGTTTGATACTAAATCACAGGCTGGTAAATCAAAGAATATCCTAACTTAATTATGAATTATTATTCAATAACCTTTAAAACCTGCTGTTAGACAGAGGATCTTGGATCACTGTTGGATAATCTGTTGTGATGTGCAGTATAACAATAGCTAACATTTAAGTTACTGTAAAAAAGGTTAAGGACTTAAGGCTATTGTATTTAGGCTTGTATGTGCCAGTTTGCAACAACAGGTCCTACTTTGTGAGTGGGGATACAGTAACATTCTGTAAGACTCAGGGGAGACAAAAGGTTGGCAAAACAGTCTTCACAAAGCTGTCATTTATCCATGGAGGCATTCATCAGAAGGAGTGGTAAAAAACAACACAGCATCACAACACAGACCCAGCTAATAAATGGAATGCTATTGACTTCAGTAAAGGCCTGAATGTGACTGACGTTGCTGACGTGATGTTATGTGAAAGCGAGGGTGTGGCAGGGTCTGTGAAACCCCCTCATTACGAGAAGGAAACAGAAGAAGTGCCACAGGCTACATGTCAGACACCTGGCAGAGTTAATCAGCTATTGTATAAACACAGGCTACCTGTGGGGTCAAGAGGTCAGTGATCTGAAGGGTATAATTACTACAAAATAGACAGTGACAGGATAAAATGATGTTATAACAAGCCTTTGATTGAAGGTCAGAAGTTGTTTTAGACATGTTGATATCATCCAAGTTAAATGGACTGAAGCAAAAGAACTGTCGTGAGCAACAGGTGTCCAGCCATCAAAGTTCCCCATGGTCTGCCCTTGTTTGGTACACTGGAAAGGTCCGATCACTGGGGAATGTGAGTGGGTCCAAAAGGCTTAAATGAAGTCTCCAATAGTTCCATCAATTATTCATGGTCAAAGACAATTTTCAGACACAAAAAACTGACTGACTTGCAGAGATTTGAGCCAGGAAACAAAAAACAGAGCTCGAATTACTTCGGTTGATTGAATTATTTTGTGTAATATCAAATCCAAATACAATGGTGCACTAGGTTTGGGGCAGGTTGATATCAGAAATACCTGCACAAGTTCAAATTTACCTGTACTTACCTGCATGTGCATGTGGTTATTTTTAGCCCTGAAAAAAAGACTTGGACTAGTCGTAAACCTGATGAAAATTTTCATAACCTTTATAACAATTTTTATAACAATTTTTATATACATTTGTATACATTTGGGACTGGTCCATCCTTATCAGAGTAAAGGGCATCTATTGAAAGATTTATGCATTTAATCTCCTGATGCATGTAGCACCAACATGTGTAACTGTAAGGTTCAAAAAATATGCATATGGCTACTGAGCACTCAGGTCTGAGGATGATGGTTTACAATATATATACATGACAACTCTAACTTGAGATCTAGCCAGAAACACTGTTACAGAGCCATATCATATGTGACATATGCAGCCTTTCCCATACTGTTAACCTCCAACAGAATACCCACCCTGCCTTATCTTATGCTTATTTATTTGCTCATCACCCCACTCAATCAATAAAACAATAAATGTTCATTCACTCACTAACATCATGCATACTCAGGGTATTAAAAAATTAAGATCAATTGCCAATTTTTCAAAATCAACAGTAAAGTGGAAACCATGGCTTCTGATTCCACATGCTATCAAATGCTGTGTACCGCCTCGTGAGACGGCCCCTCTCCACCAGCGTTCTACTCAACGGGTCCCCGGGCAATGACATCACATTAAACGAAAGCCTCTCACACGGGTTTCTCTTTTTAGCGAACGCCCACGAAAGCCCAAAAATTGTCGCACGAATCTTAAAATTTTTTGTGTGGTCATGTCCAGCGTGTGCTCCCGGGTGTCCATGCCAAGTTTGAAGCGAATCCATCGAGCCGAACTTAAATAAATCGAAATTTACTGGGTTTTTTCTCTTCTTGGCGAACGCCCACTTTACTTCCGGGTTCGCTGCGAACGCCCACTACTCTTTGCAAAATTTCGGCCCTCGCGCAACGCCGGCAAAATCCACCACCACAAATATGTTCCTATATGCTTCCCCTAAATTTCTGACACGTTTCCGTGCTTTACGAGCTTTTAAAGTACCCATTTTTTTGACAAAATATGCGCTGCGACGAGCTCGCCGCCTCGGCGTATACGTTCTACCTGGTCACATGACTTGCGGTCGGGGACTGTTCGATAATTTCATGATCAGCGGGAGGGAGGACAGGAAGGGCAGAAAAACGCAATCTACCGCACAAAAGGGGCAGAATTTCGTGTTTGTAACATCAAACATAAATGATTTCCTTTCTTACATAATTTTCACCTCGGTTCTAGTAGTGACACCGCCGAATAAAGTACGCACTTTTGAAAACTTTTCAAAATACAAAAAGTACCTTATTTGAGGTTTTCCCCGACAAATCCAACGACTACCGACGAATATAGCGAAAACCGGCAAGGAGAATTGCACTACATCGATTCGTACATAAAAATGTCGGATGATAATGTTGACGCGTGAAAATAAAGTTAAACTTTAATAAATGAACGTATTTCATGTGTGTATCGTCGATATTGACACGAAGTTGCGGTAAAACGAGAAGACGCACGGTAAGATAATCTAGGTCACTCACGTCGCGGTGCTCGGTCATGCTGACGGGATGGTCGCCAGCCAGCCGCCGATATCTCAGTGGAACCCCGGCCGAAAATAAATACCCCCGTAAGTATGAACGCAATTCTATTAAATAGATGTATGAGTGGTAAGATGGTAAGATTTAGAATGGTCCGCAAGTCGTCGTAACGTAGTGAATAACGTTACTAGTATAACATGACAGTTGCGCTTCAACTGATGGTCAGTTCTAATGCACTTTCGGCTATAGTTAAACACAGAAATCTTCAACAAATGTTATAGCCATGCCGTTACAAAGGTTCAAATGACACAAATCTTTTTACTTCGTATCACAAATCTATTTAAATATAAACAAATGCCGCAGAAAATTATTTTGTAGCGGGACTATACCAGCCAGTATTACGTTAAAATGATGGGTAGATGTACAAGGCATGGCCTTACAATGATAGGGTTTTTTGGGCGAAGTCTTTGAAATCT